TAATTTTTTAATGTAATTTTTTGCTATTTAAGTTTCTTTTTGCAAGGAGTTAAAAAAAAAACTGTTAAAATTTTAATATAGACATAATTAAAATTACTTATACAGGCTAGGCGCAATGGCTCACACCTGTAATCCCAGCACTTTGGAAGGCCAAAGCAGGTGGATCATTTGAGGTCAAGAGTTTGAGACTAACCTGGCCAATATGGTGAAACCCTTGTCTCTACTAAAAATACAAAAATTAGCAGGGTAAGGTGGCATGCATCTGTAATTCCAGTTACTCAGGAGGCTGAGGTGGGAGGATCACTGGAACCTGTGAGGCAGAGGTTGCAGTAAGCCAAGATCGCACCACTGCACGCCTGCCTGAGTAACAGAGCGAGATTCCATCTTAAAATACATATATATGGCTGGGCACGGTGGCTCACGCCTGTAATCCCAGCACTTTGGGAGGCCGAGACAGGCAAATCACGAGGTCAAGAGATCGAAGCCATCCTGGCCAACATGGTGAAACCCATCTCTACTAAAAGTACAAAAAATTAGCCAGGCATGGTGGTGGGTGCCTGCAGTCCCAGCTACTCGGGAGGCTGAGGCAGAAGAATTGCTTGAAACTCGAAAACGGAAGTTGCAGTGGGCCAGGATCTTGCCACTGCACTCCAGCCTGGCGATACAGCGAGACTCTGTCTCAAAAAAAAAAAAAAATATATATATATATATATATATATTTATCTATACAAATTAATAAATCTCTAAGAAAATCTTTTCATAGACCATACATCCTAATTTTTATTCTTAAGGAAAGTGTACAATGTCTGTAAAAAGGGAATTTTAAGGTATTTGCTATATTTTGAAGCACATGTGAGAAATAAAATTTGGAATCACTATAGAAAATCATGAAAATGTCATAAATTTCATTAGGAGTTAATACTTTACATACACGTAATTTGGCAGAAAAGCAGGCACAAGCACTTTTTTTTTTTTTTTTTTTTAATAAAGACGAGGCTTCACCATGTTGGTCAGGCTGGTCTTGAACTCCCGACCTCAGGTGATCTGCCCACCTTAGCCTCCAAAGTGCTTGGATTACAGGCGTGAGCCACCGCGCCCGGCCACAAGCACTTTTAAATATAACATTCTTATTTGCTGACAATCCACAGTCATAATTTTACACTTCCTGTGAAGAAGCTGACTTTATAAGAAAGCAGAATTTTTCCCTTTTGACATCCCCTGACCTGATTTAAGTTACCATCTCATACAAAGTAAACATAATCCCAAAACCAGATTCATCAGGAAACTGAAATAGAAGTAATAAAACTACTTGGCACAAATTAATTTATTAAAATGTCCTTTTTCACCTTTTTACTGAGCAGCCCCCAAACCAGAATAGTTTCAGAGGGAACCTCAAAAAGAACATTTTTAGTTTAGAAAAAAAAAGCTGATAGAAATTGAAATACTTCTTTCCACACAGACACAAAAAAATGACATCCAATGTATTTGACAAAGGACTTGTATCTAGAACATAAGAAACCTTATCTGGGCGCAATGGCTCACACCTGTAATCCCGGCACTTTGGGAGGCCAAGGAGGGCAGATTGTGAGGTCAGGAGTTTGAGATCAGCCTTGCCAACATAGTGAAACCCTGTCTCTACTTAAAATACAAAAATTATTAGCCAGGCATGGTGGTGTACGCCCGTAGTCCCAGCTACTCGGGAGCCTGAGGCAGGAGAATCGCTTGAACCTGGGAGGTGGAGGTTGTGGTGAGCCAAGATCGTACCACTGCACTCCAGCCTGGGAAACAGAGCAAGGCTCCACCTCATTTAAAAAAAAGAAAGAAAGAAAAAGAAAAGAAACCTTACAATTCAATCAAATTTTCTCTAAATGGTTAAAACATTTCACCAAAGAAGATATATAGATGGCAGACAAGCACATGATAAGATATTTAAAATCTTTAGTCATAGGCCGGGCGCGGTGGCTCAAACCTATAATCCCAGCACTTTGGGAGGCCAAGGCGGGTGGATCACGAGGTCAAGAGATCGAGACCATCCTGGTCAACATGGTGAAACCCCGTCTC